GATAATCTTTGTACTCACTTTTACCCGTCAATTCTATGTCCAATGTTAAAATTCAAAATTCCTGCGAAATATTGAAGTTTAAACGTCAAGTGCTCGTTTTAACTCAAGTGTTGGTAAAAAATTACCTACAGAGCCCGCCCTTTGCACGACAGCCAATGCAAGCGGCGAAGTTGTGGTGAATGCACGTATAGTTCCAGTCAAAATTTCAGTACTGTGGTGAGTAGTTATTTTCTTACTTATATATATTTCATTGTAATTTATATAAGGCTATATGTAATTTGTTGAAAAGTAGCATCCACTAATAAAAAATATCAGTAAAATACTTAATTCCGAATTGTAGTCTCAAATTTGTATCCCATTCATCAGTACCGTGTCGTCAGTTCCATGTTCGATGTTTGGTTTATCTTTTTTTTGCAAACTTCAATTTAAATTCTGCTTGCGCAGAACTTGTTTATTTAATGTCATTATGAACTCATATAAATTTGGTGTGGGCCCCTTTACTAATAATTGAGATATCGGTATACCCAAAATCCACCAGCCACCACTGATGTGTGGTTGGTATTATTTGATTTTAAGATATTTAATGTATAATATGCTCAATAAATCTTATATTTTCCAATAAATTATGTATTTAATTAGTACCCTGGTATACTCGTCACTTCCCTTGCATTCAAATTTAGAAAACACAGATATTTCGGAAACTGTTTGAAAAAGTGACTGGCCCGGTCTGGAATAGTATACTTATTATATTATCTATGTTCTCATAACGAAATACTGTTTAATTTTCTCCGTAAACTATATAAACAAAATGAGGTCAAAAGTTGCACAACTTTTGTAGAATCACCCATATACATTTATGTACAGCCAGTATACTAACGTATGCATCTAAAGTTTTGGGAATTTTTTCATACATGAATTACAGCTTTATGGTAAGCACCAAAGAAGTTACCATTGTTCACAATTATTTATTGCAAAGCAACCTTGATATGTCAAAAAACATTAGTTTCAAATTTCTCAAAAACATGTCATATAAATTGGAAATTCGAAAAAGTATCTACAACCTTGTTGGACGGCTATCGAAATTTTTCGAAACGACAATCTATCGGACAATATCTCTATGCGAACAAGGAATACCTTGTTTTAACTTACCAAAAAGTGGACGAGTGAAGTTCGTGAAAACAGAGTGTTTGAAAGCGCAAGACATAAAGTGGGTATACATGTCATCAAAAAGTGGCAAGGAGATTTCATATATCCCTTAGCAAAAAATAGGTATTTCTAAAATGTCAACGAAAACCCTTTATATATTCCTTTTATGGACTCTCTGACGGAACCAAAACTAGTGTTGGTTAAATCAAAGCTGATCGGAAAACAATCTGTTGGCATTTTTTTACTGTTTTACCAAAATTCAAGTTTTTGTCACTGGTTAAGAATAACTGTAAAAAAAGGTGGAAAGTGACAATACAATAAAGTAGGCTAGTGTCAAAATGACATCTTGAATATTTGAAACCGTCATTTAAAACTCCAGCAAAAAAAAATCATATACCTACAAAGACTATTAAAATTTAAATTGATAATGCCGAAAGAAGCGGACCATGAAGAAAATCGACGAAAAGTGTGTATATTGTGTGGTTCTAAAATCGTATTTGGGAAGTCCAAAGCGTCAGTGTTTAACTTGACAGAAAAATTGCACAAGCTTATTTGTAAGTATTCGCATGCGCATAAATTTGATAAAAGGGACTCAAGATATCCCACGTCTATTTGTGGAAATTGTCGCCTTGTTCTCTTTGATAGAGAAAAAGATGTGTTGAAGAGAAATTTCCCCGTGACTCCTCAATTTGACCAAATAGTCTTGCATGCTAAAACTAGAAACACCACCCGAATATGCAATTGTTTTCCAATTTCCAATCAAACACAAGTTCTTCTTTAAACCAAATGGAAACCTTAACAAACTTTATTAGGTTGTGCGCAGGAAAAAATGCAGTTGCGGCTAAATATCGTTTTCATGCAAGTGCACTGAAAGAAATATATGTTTGTTTTAGCAATGTTTGTGGTTCATATATGGACTACCACATACATTGCTAAAACAAACATATATTATATTTAGTTTTAACATAATATGTTAAAACTAAATATAAAAATGGTTAAGGTAAATATATTATATGTTTGTTTTAGCAATGTATGTGGTAGTCCATATATGAAACATAAATTTCTTTCAGTGTGAAAATTCAAAAATGTTAAGCAGTTTTTATAAACAGGGTTTATACGAATTTGACATCAATGCAAAGAGGGAAAAACAAAATCGGGCTATAGTGTGGGCAGATGCTGAAGGTTAAGGCTGATATTGAAAAAAGGAACTATATTGGAAAACCTGAAATTAAAGTTATGGCTGATGTAGGGCAAGGTTTTTTTAAAATTTGTTTGACGATTTTACCGGAAAATTACTCCTCTGTGTTAAATAAAGGTTTAGCTGGAAACCAAGAAATAGTAGAAGACGAACTAAATGCAATGGATCAAGGTAAACGATCTACATATGCAGAAGGAGGAAAAGCAGGAAAAAGAGGTTAACTAGGTGGAGTACAAAGATTAATAATTTTATGCATGGTCCCTCAAATAAAAGAAAGTTACGACAATATTAAATTTCTATTTGATCTTACACAAATAAACAAAATTTCCTTCAAGTTTGTTTCGGACCTAAACCAACCCAACCCAACCCTCCTCGTCAATGGATTTCAGACAGCAACTGCAACGTACCCGTGTCCTTATTGCTATGTACCTATCACTACACGAACTAAGGTTTCAAGATAAACCCACAAATGTTGAAGATCCCACCTATGAAGCTCAAACGATGTGTTTAAGAACTTATGGAGACGTTACCAAGCATTTCGATAAATTTTATTCTCCAAGCAAAAATAAAAAAGTCGCTAAAGAATGTTTTAGCACCGTAAATATACCTATGTTTGGGGAAGAAGGTAAGACCTTTATTATTCAAAAATGTATTGCACATTTTGCAAGGCTTTGTACATCACCTATTTTGGGATGGACTAGTACCACACGTGGGAAGAGAAGAAGCCCTTAATTGGCCAAAAAAACTAGGACTTATATAAAAAAACTATCAGGGTGAAATTTTTGAAGGAAATGCATGCCGAAAGCCTTTAAAGAATTCTGATTGTATTCTCGATATTAAGGTCATTCGTAAAAAAGTTAGCCCTTTACAAATTGTTCCAATAATATCAGCATTAAAGGCAATGAACAAAGTTGTTGAAGATTGTTTTTCTAGTCGCGTTGGTCAGGAACTCAAGAAGAACATTGTCCATTTAAGAAAAACCTTTAAAGCCACTGGAATTTCGGAAACTTTAAAAATCCACATCGCTCTTAATCATCTTGAAAAATGCCTAAGCTATCTTAACCATGGGGGTCTTGGATTATGGTCAGAACATGCGGGAGAATCTATTTATCGAGAGTTTTTAAAATCATGGAGCAGATATAAATTAAACAATGTTAACGACCTTAGATACGGTGATTTTTTGTTAAAAGCAGTTGTAGAGTTTTCTTCTACACATTTGTAATTGTAAGTTGTGTTAAATTTTGTTATTTTTTTATTCAATTAAACGATTCTGAACCCTTAATTTAATTTCTTATTTATCAAAGGTACTATAATATCATTAGCATTAATAAAGAGATAGCAAGAAAATAATATTCATATTTAAAATAAATTATAAGGTTTATATCCGATCAGCTTTGATTTAACCGAACTTTGTTTTGGTGCTGCCAAATAGTTCACAATAAGTATCCATAAAGAGATTTCGTTGACATTTTTAAAATACCTATTTTTTTCTAAGGGACACTGTGTATCAAGTACCACTATGAACACAAAATAAGAAACTTAAAATATTGAAAAGATGGAAATGCCCAAAATACGGTAAATTTTCACTTTAACGACTTTTCCGAAAAACGGCAGGAAAGTTGCCAAAATGCCAAAAATAGGTGTGGAGGGATGTAAAAGTGCATAAGCAATCGGCGCAGGGTAAAAAAGTTGTATAATTATCACGTAATTAATAAAAGGGGCTGATAATTGAAGTGACTTACAGTGATTTTCTGTGAAAAAGAGCATGTAGCGAGTCAAAAACACGTATCTAATAGACGTAGAATTTGAAACTGAAGTGAAAAAGCTTGAATTATGAAAAACAACGTCATAAATTGCGGAAAATGCAATTTTTAAAATCAGGTAATTTGAGGTTGACGTATTTTTTGCATTTTGGCAACCCCCAATCCGTTTTTTGGAAAAGTCGCTAATGTGTAAATTTAATACAAAGGCGAGCAAAAAATTAGATTTGTGAATCCATTTGAATTTGGCGGCAATGAGGGAAGGATTTTTAGGGTAAATACCCTAAAAATCCTTGAACATATATTGTGGTGTACATAATATGTACATTTTATGTACAATATTTTACTCGGACCATATTTACCAATAAATAAACAAATATCGTTAAAATTTAACTTGAAAATTACGAACATACCTATTAAATACATTTTGGTTTGTTGTATTTTTATGTGTAGGATTAATTTATACAAAAAAATTTAAAAATATTTTATTAAATATATGTTTACATACATTTTTTATAATTTTAAATTAAATTATAAATGCATACTGCGCTTTTTGTAAGTTATTATTAAACAAATAGGTATGTCATTGTTGGGTGATCAAAAAATATTCATAAGTATTTTAAGTTTTATTTTTAAAATAAATAATTAACAATTAATATTTTTAAATATATACAAAAATAACTATGTTTACCAATGCTAAATAAAAATTATCTAATAATACTTATAAAAGTGTTTTAGTATGTAGTAGTATATAAAATGAGAAGAAAATTATATAGGCTTAAAATTTAACTTTTATATAAAAATATACTGTATACAGATCCCAATCTAAAAATAATAATAGAACTTAATTTCGAGACTAATAAGGAGTTAATCCTTAATATTTATCACAGAGTGTTTTATAAGTAACCTATTATAAGTATAAGCAGTATAAAAATTAATTATAATTCGTAAAAGTGCTTTTTAAATTTTCTTCTCAATTAAAAACATTGTTTATTTTAATATCGCAGCTGACATAAGTATAAATATTATACATACAAATAATTTATATATCATCTGCAATTTTTTAATTTGGGGAAGAATACCATTTCAGATAATATTGCCAATACGACGCACACAGCATATAAAATTATCAGAACAGTGCCAGATTTTCTAGACATGTGAAAATTATTAAAGTATAAGGTAAGATATAAAGTGATAGCCACTGCCACTAACGCTAAAATCGTGTACTGAATTGATCCCGATTCGATTTCCACAAATCCCTCTGATCCATTACCTTTGAGAATAGTCTTGAAAAACCACGGGAATCCTAGGGAAAGTAGGATGTTCATTGTATTGGCGCCCATTGAGTTTGATACTCCCATTGAACCTTCTCCTGAAACATCAGTAATTAATGAGTGTTAGACTGTCAAACGTTTTAAGTAAACTGCTTATTTGTAGAAAGTTTTTGGCGGATTAAACCGCTATATACTGGTAACCATTATAAACGCCCCGCCTGACCAATCGGGTTTTAAATTAGGAGCAAGTAAAGTTAAAAATATCTGACACATGTCATAGGGGCGGCTATAATGATCTTTTTCTACTCCTATTATGAAATATGGCCATGCTAATATCACTTTTATCTATGGAATGACATTTATTCCGTAAAGTGTTACAGAATGAAATATTCTATCATCTGATGACAGAATATACACTCGTGGCGACATCTCGGTTTTTAATATCTAACAAATTTTAGACCGATCCAGCCTCACTTTCTTCCAATTAAATTATTTGTTTATGTTATGTTTTGGAAACGTAGAAAAAGTATAGTCTGAAACACGTTTGGAATTGCATATTCCCCTCTCGTGAAACCGTCAAACTCGCCTTCGGCTCGTGTGACAAACTTTTCACTCGAGCGGAATATGCCGTATTCCAAACTTGTTACAGAATATACTATTATCTATTTTGCGTTCACCGCTTTGCGTGCTGTAATGAGATACTTTATCCCACCAAAAATTTTGATTTTCTAGGTTGGCTATACTTTAAACAGCATAATATTTTGCATATTGGTTATAATATTTTTATGATTTTTCTAGTAACTACTTACGAGACTTTTATGGCAATAAATTTTGTTTAACACCAAAGAAAATCCTTTTTTTCTTCTTTAACATTAACAGCCCCTTATTGTAAATAAGTAAATTAAGGACCTACATTTTTCATTTAAAATATATATTTCACAAAGTACACCTAAAGCTCATAAAGGTTTATTTAACATAAAATACTGGTTCGATGGTAACCTTAGTATTTGTTTACTTTAAACCGATTGAAAGTCGCACAGAAACAATGTATTGTAAGATTGGAAGTAATATTATTTCGAATACAAATCATTTGATTTACATCAATTGGAAATACTAAAATACGTCTGAATGCAAAGAATTAAAGAAAGTGTTTTTTATTATTGAAAATACAAGATCCTAAAGCGATTTTTACAATTTAATTTTAATTTTTCTTGATATAATACCTATTTTACATATGTATTGTTATAACTAAAGTAAATTAAATAAACTTAATTTCATTTGTGATTCTGTAGGTCCGTTATTTACGACAAAAACTGAGAAGTGAGTTTTTTGTAGTGACCTTAAAATTTTAATTCCGACGCGAAGCGTCAAGGCATAATTTTATTTCTTTAAAGGTACAATTTAAAAAAGTGGAAAGTGAGGTTAAATTAGGTCTGACAGTACCCAGTCAAATTTTTTTATTTATCCCAGTGGGTAGGCCGTTTTATGTTTAATATCATTAAAGAATTTTTTAAATATTTGACAAAATTTACACTTAACTTTTCACTGGATAACGTGCATTTACGACACGCTGTTCAAACTGTTGAACTCGTCATTGGACACGTGTATAAATTTGAGCTTCCAAAAGAAAGTGCAAAGTTGCACTTTTCCGAGGATCAAGCGTTTCTTTACTTTGTCGCCATAATAACGAAACGTCTAGTATACTAGATGTCAAAAGTCGCAGGGTATATATATACACTGCGACTTTTGACACAAAAGTCAAATTTGAGGTTATTACCAAATATTTTTATAAAAACTCCGGTTGTAGAAAAAATCCTGTGTGTAATTCGAGCGCAAAGTGACATTGCCGCTCTCGCGAGATAGCCTCGCTCCGCTATGCGTCGCGCGTCAAACTTCTCGATCATGAGCTCTGCAGAGCGAGAATATATCACTTTACGATCTTATTACACAAATAGCTATTATCTACGCCAGTGAGATAAGAACTTTTTATCCCACTCATTTTGAGTGAGATAAGAAGTTCATTAACGCACGCGTTTTTCTCTGCTTTTAACCAATCAAATAAAAAAGTCAAAATGTCAAAATAACCCTAAATTAAGTCTTAGACAAAAATAATTACCGTTTATTTTTTCATTTAGAGGCGTAGATAAAAATTTGTACAATATACGTGTGATATCGCTTTATTAAGGTACTTTTGCGATTGCCCAACTCGTGCTACGCACTCTTTGGGCAAATTTCGCTTGAGTACGTTAATAAATCTCTTATCCCACTAATATCGTAAATAACTATTATCACCTTGTTTACACCGTGTAAATTACACGTTACTAAGGATTTTGAAGCTTTTTTGATTGACATTTATTTAAGTAACAAATTTGAATTAAAAGTTTCACTTTGAATGTACAAAATATGTAATGCGATAAAATTTAAATAAAAGATGTTTAGAAAAGCCTTTTTATATTTTTAAGCATATTAATTTAATTTCAAATGTCAAACTGTCAATTCGTTAAATCCTAAAATTCATGTAATACTATGTTTTATTTACTCTAATAATTCTCATGCTTATGTCTTAATAGCCATCATTAAATCGTCGTTGCATAATATACTATTATAGACAATATAAAATGTGTTTACCTCTTCTGGACATTATTACAATTGATATGGATTCTGGTAAGCATCCTCCAGCTGCTAAAAATGTCAGACCCAACACAGCATCAGGGATTTTAAAAATGTTTCCTAAAAAATATGATATATTAGCAATTAAAGAATACATTAAATGTCATTAATTACCAAAGTTAATTTATTAAAATTGCTTTTAATAATGAAACTTGCAGTATTTTAATTTATAGACTAAATAAATTCCATACATTTGTGAGGTTATAACCACTTCAATTTTGGCAAAAAAAAATTAACTTATCTAGAATTACATAGGGATTTCAAAAATTCAAGGAATCTAATATTTTTAATGATTTTTCACGCATATAAAATTAAAAATTGATACATAATTATTATTAAATCATGTAAGGATAATATAATCCAAAAGATGACTAATTTTTAATTATATTAAAATTTAAAAACAGAAAAAACCTATAAGTTACAGTTTGAAAGCTGTGAGTTTGATACCGTAACTTCATCAGCCATGCACTGCCCACCCTTGTCAAACAATGACGTTGCGGTATCATACTTACAACTCGAACTCTAATCTTGTAAATTGTGTTAATAATTATTAAAATAAATTATAATTAATCTTCCTACCTATCAGTGTCATCATCCACGAGACGATATACGAATTGGCTCCGATCCAAATTATACACATTGCAAATGTAACGGGAAGCAGTTTAGGGTATCTCACAGGATCGGGTATTGTAAAATGTAAAACAAACTTAATTGGCCACAAAAAGTAGAATACAATTTTGCTAATTAGTGTTCCAGATGGCCAAATAAACAGGTCGTCTTCATCTAAAAAATAAATTAAAAAATTGGATTATGTTTATGCATTTTTGGGCGTCGGTCACGTGCGCGCCCTGATCAGGTTTTACCCTAGTCTGATTATGCAATAATTAATATAATCCTTTAATGCAATAAAAGCATTAAAGGATTATTTTAATTAATTATTTGAAATTTCTGAATCAGTAATATATTAAGTATTATATTTTCCCTGGATGATACAAACCTTTTTATTTTTTAAACACCCTGTATTTTATAAATTTTTTGATTCAACACGGTTTTTTTAAGTATAGGTATTCCTTATAAATATATTAATTAAGAAAAAATTTATAATTTTTAAGTAAAACTTCATTATTTTTGTATCTTAAAAAGTATAATTGTTTTATTAATTCCACAAAATTAAAATGTTATAAAATATGCGGATAACTTAATAGAAAACTATATTTCTGATAATGTAACTTTTCCACCTAATATCTGGGCTTGTGTGTAACTATCGACTGCGCGAGTCAAGTAATTTTCAAAAAATTATATTAGGGATTTAGTTAAAAAAGTTCAGAAAATTACCCACTTGGGATTATTTCGAGTGGGTAGTAGGTACCTATACTAACACGGCCCTGTTAGTACAAGAAGCCCAGATTGTTATAAAATAAATTAATTAAAAAGTGTAAATGTTTTAATTTAACAAATTAAGAACTCAAAACTGGCCCTGTGAACTGGATTCTCATCGATGAAAATCATTAGAATTTTTGGTTTGTTTCTACAATTTATTGTGAAACCGGACTCATCATCAACAAAGAAGAAATTCACCCGTCTTTAACCTGTCAAAGGACCCATTGAAGATTCATAGCACAACTTCGAAATCTCTTGAATTTCGTCCTTTCGTCCCACGAGCCAATTGGAGATGAACAACGCATTAAATTTCGTTCAGTAGTTCCTTTTGCATCCCTTTTATTATTCCCTATTTTTATTTTCATTAATTTTAAGTATTATTTTTTGATTTTATTAATTTTCATGCCTGCATTTAAGTGATCCAGAAATAGAACAACTTATTATATTATTAGGAAATACTACTATAACTAATCCTCAAATTAATATCAACGAAGTAAATATGACAGATCCAAAAATTCCTAAAATAACCGATAAGCAACTTGAACATTTTTTTAAAGTTATACCTATTTATGGCGATGGTGCATCTTTTAGCGATTTCATAATTTCTGTGGACAAAATTATTGATCTTTTTCAAGGCATTTTTGCAATGTGCTAAAACATTCAATTGCATTTATTTAACCTCTATGTTTAAAGCAAAATTCGCGGACCAACAAAATCATTTATAACAGCCAATAAACTCGACAATTTTATTCCAAAATCTTTTCAAACTTGGCAAAATATTCGTACCGACCTTTTAAAAAAATTTGGTGAGCCGAATCTCCGAATCTACATTAGAACTTGAACTAACAATTTATTATATATTATTTGCGCCTGTAAATCACTAGAAGAATGTCTTTCGCGATGTTCTGAGCTCGAAAACGAAGAATCTTTTGGTAAAGCTATACGCAACACCAAATCTAAAAAAATCAAAACACTCCAATTAGTTTTAAAAAAGAAACCTGAAGTTTTCTTTACCCAAAACTGATTTTTTGTGTGTTATGTTCCCATTGGACACCCAGGGATAAAGAAATTGAAAAAAACGTTAATTTTAAAAAGTTTAAAAATTTGTATTTTTAATTAAATTCTTTAAATTTTACATTCAAAAAGGAACCTTAAGATGTCATCACACAATGCCAATTTTTTTTTACATTAAATATAACCTTAAAATACAACTAATTCACACCTATGTATACAAAATTTCAAAAAAAATTTTATCGCTCCGCCCTAATATATATACAGGGTGTTCCTTTTAACTTGAGACAGCTCAATATTTTGAGAAATACGCATTTCACGAAAAAATGTCTTAAATAAAAGGTTAATGTGACCAAAGAGAACATTATTTGGTGCTACCGCTAGCCACCCCCTACCCCTCCTTAAGGGTGAAACGGGGGGTAACTTTGGAAAGTCAAATAGGATGACCCGATTTTTTTCACAAATTTTGGTAGTACATAAAAAAAATGAAGAAAAATGGGTTTCCTTGTAAAATGTATTATTTGAAACGCTTGAAAAACAAAAATTAACATTAAATCAACAATAGTCGGCTCTGAAAAACAAATGTTCGAAATGTCGTCCATCCAAATAGTATTAAAGTATATCGTAGACCTAGGCGATAAAGTGGTTTTTTCAGGCTGAAAGAAGAAATGCACAGACGAGCTTAAGCGCACCTGGACAAGTCCACAAGTGCACTTCTTGAAGCCTGCAAAAATAACTTTACCGCTGTGGTTTACATGTTAATTTCCTTCCTACACAATATAAATGCAATAATTTCTCCTAAGCCTTTAACAAAAAAAACAGAAAATTAAAAATACTGACATGTCAACATCAAACAACGACAAACCAAACATTTCGCAGCGGCACCTACAAACAGTTAGATATTACTTTCTGCAGGAAGAAACAGATTTTAATGTAATAATAAAAATTTAATTTATAATTTGCTAATATTAGTTTATATTAGGTCGTTTATTTTATAAAAAGAATACCTCTTTTGTTTATTATTATTGCAACGCTCTCTATTGAAAACAGTAAAAAATCCTGCCGTAAAAACACCTGCTTTCTTGTCCCTATGGATACAGTAAAATTTAAATTTATTATGATGTAGGAAGAAGTTTATTATTTACTTCTTTGGACCGATAACAAAATTGTACCTTATTTTATCCTACTGTTAATAATAATTAATAAATGTAGAATGAGGTTGGATTTATCTGAGAAGTCGTACAATTATTGTACGTTTTATGTATCGTTTAACAAATAAAATTGTACTTTGAAAATAAAAGAGATAAAATTGTACCTTAAAGAAGACGTTGTAATTAAACTTTGATCTCAGCACAAAGAAACTCACTTGACCTTGACCTAATTTACCAAAAAGGCCGAATGCGCCCGAATACTAACATTTCTTGTTTAAGTTTGTTTAATAAAATAAAAACTTTACATGAAGTTACATTTTTATAATGAGCAAAAGTAAGATAGTTAAGCATTGTAATGATTCAAAAAGATGTTTAAAGTTACAACGTAATAATTTAACAAATTTAATATAAAAATAAAAAAATTAATTTACCTTCTTTATCAGCATATGGGTTTTTATGGTTTTCGGCTATATCGCCATTTTTTTTAACACTATCCTGAAAATCTGCCGAGACAACTGATATTTTTATGGGTTCGTCCTTAGAACTTTTCGTTTCGATGCTTTTGTTCCTGTAGACGCCTGCATTTTCCAATGAATTTTCTTTTTCTTTGTTTGCTCTTTGTAGTTTGTTTTTGATGCGATCGTTGTTAAATAAAACTATACAATAAATGAAATAAAGTCCAAACAAAGTCAGACCTTCGTACCACTGGATTCTATTGTCCCACGTTATTGAAACCAATAAACTCACTGACAATATATAAATAATCACGTCTCTCGTCAATGGCCAACAGTCAATTTGTATTGGCTAAAAATAAATAAATGTTTAGTAGGAAATTTGAGATTTTAATGCATAAAATGTAAGAGTCCATTTTAAGTTTCAAGTTTTTAGTTTAAAAGCATTTTGATATAGCAATTAATATATGGGTCATTTCATACTGGGCATTGTGTTCGATCATTGTTTGGTTATACGAGCCCTAACCACATAATGTTCGGACACTTCATAATTTATACAGAAATTTTTTTCGTGAATACTATCTCAAAGTTATGAAAAATTCAGCTTATTTTGGCATATACCCCTCGAAGCGATTTTTATTTTTAAAAAGTTTACCTTTTATTTTTAGCTTTTAAAAAAAGGCTAACTTTTTAACTTTTGAGTAAAAAAAGTTATAAATGGGCCCATTAAAAAGAACATAAAATATTATACAAACCCTGAAAATTTGGTAAAAAATAAATAAGTTATAAAAAAGTATAAGTAATTTAAAAATGCTATTTTTAAAGAGTTTTTGCAATTTTCTTAGGAAACGGGAGATTTTGCAGATATATATATCGCTATAACTTTCTTATTATTTATACAATTTTTACCAAATTTTCAGGGTTTGTACAATATTTTATGTTCTTTTTAATGGGCCCATTTATAACTTTTTTTACTCATGCAAAAAAAAGTTAAAAAGTTAGCCTTTTTTTAAAAGCTAAAAATAAAAGGTAAACTTTTTAAAAATAAAAATCGCTTCGAGGGGTATATGCCAAAATAAGCTGAATTTTTCATAACTTCTAATAATTTTGAGATAGTATTCACGAAAAAAATTTCTGTATAAATTATGAAGTGTCCGAACATTATGTGGTTAGGGCTCGTATATGTTCAGAAAATATTGGGAATTTTCGTTTTTTGAAGCAAATATTTATTTATTCGTCTACATTAATGTTGTCGCCTTCAAAATAGTCCCCATTGGATATTATGCACATGTGCAAGCTCTTCTTCCAATACTCGAAACACTTCTAAAACTCGATCTTTGGGATAGCCTTTAGTTCTTTCAGCGATGCGCTTTTAATGTCATCTATGCTTGCAAAACGACGGCCCTTTAAGGTTCTCTTTATTTTTGGGAATAGGAAAAAGTCAGACAGAGGCATGTCTGGCGAATATGGAGGCTAGGGCATCATTACAGTATTGTTTTTGGCCAAAACTTTTGTTCAAAATTTAAAATTAACATTTAAGAACAAATTTTGCTGCCACGCGTTTCATACCCAAAACATTCGAAAAAATTTCATGGGATTGGCTCAATCGATATACCAACATCATCAGCGACTTCCCTGATGGTTTATAACCATTTCTTCTACTTTTTCCATGTTTTTATCGGTTGTTAATGTGCTTGTGCGTCTGGGCGTTCGTCATCTTCAACGTCTTCACGGCCATCTTGGAAACTCTTATACCACTTGTAAACTCTTGTTTTACTTATAGCAGACTCACTATCGGCCTTTGTTAACATTTCACAAAATTTACTTTATTTTTTAAGCAAAATTGGATACAAATTCTTTGTTCCATTTCTTTTAACGAACGAAAAATCGCCGCCATAAAACACGTCTAACCTTAGCGGCTGCCACAGACAAAGTAAACAATGAAAACAGCTAAAGTTTTAATCATACTTCGGGGGCAACCGGACCCTCTGAACCCGCGAAATTTAACAATTCCCGTTATTACCTGAACACACCTCGTACATTAAACAGTTTTAAACATATAAGAAAAGAAGGTGCCGACAAACACATTTTTATCGTAAGGTTTTAAAATATCGATCTAGTTAAAAAAACGCATATTTTTTCCTCAAATTAAACTTTTATGCAGTATCTATATAACTGTATCCTTATTTGTATTTCCAAATTTTTATTAGGGTACCCGCAAAAAGCTTGTAAATCTGACGTTTAATTTAATTCTGTAACATTCAAAGTCAATCACACTGTAGCGTCGTCATGGTAGCGGACGGGAATAAAACATTTTTTATCTGATAACAGGGAGGGAATCAAAATATATACAGGGGGATCAATAAGATTGATCATAGCGGGAGAAATGAATGCCATTAGTTATTAACAATTGCGGATACAATCGGCGCATTATTAACCACACGACAAAAAAAATATTGTCGCCGGGTTAAAATGCGTAGGTACCTAACTATAGAATACTGACATTTTATTACATCTAATAATAATGAATTGTATTGTCCCAAAAATAATATGACATCTGTCAAAACCTAAGAAAATAAACGTCAAAAAATAATCTTTCGAATACCACTCGAGATTTCTATAAATTATAAAATAATTCTCTAGAATACCTATTTCTTTAACTTGTTTTTATGTAATTTAGGCAATTAATGTTGATTATTTTTTACGACTTTTTACAACAGGGAATCACAGCTTAAATTGTAATTGCATTGCTTCACTCGTGTCAATAATGTCGATATTTTGTTACACAGCACGTGTTAAGGCAAACAAAAAATATTTATTTCATTTTGTTTACATTTTTTGTTTGCAACACTGCGAAGATTAATGGGTTTAACCTTATTCTATTGTCAGGATTTTAAATTCCCATTATTTGTTAATTAATAAAAATAATATTTCCAAGAATATATTTCTTTCTGAGAATGTATACTATTATTATATATTATTAGGTACATATTTTAAATGTTTATGAATAATGTATTTAAAATCAATATAACGTTGAGATAAACATTCTCATTTTCCCGTAATTAAGAAGTCAAATGCTTTGACATAAAATACATTATTCATACGGCTTTAAAGGAGCCTTTACAATTTTGATTTTCTAAAATAAATTTTGTCTCTTACTGGTTGGAATTATATAGCACATTCTCCTTTTTATTAAAAAATGGACTTACCGCTGAGGCTGCTAGACCGCCCAGTGCTGCCACTCCAAGGGTGTTAAACAATGAAGAGCCCACAATTGTACCAATTCCTAAATCGGATTCAACTACAAAAGTACTAATTACATTGGTAAAAAGCTCAGGACACGAGGTTGCGGTAGACATGAAAGTGGCTGCAGCTACATCCTTAAAAATAAAATGAGAATTTATTTAATTATTATATAAATTTAAGTATAAACATAATTTTTTCAGTTTTATGCTTTTATAAGAGCATAAAACTAAAAAAAAATAATGTTTTTACTTAAAATACCGTTAAGAGGATAAATTTAAACTGAAGGGTGAATACAAATAACACTAGTTTACAAAATCGAAAAAAATTCTGCCCACCATATCCTATTATATTTTTCCCATTTAACACGAAAATCACACTCATTTTTTTATGGAAGCGTTTTTGAAATATTAATTTTCAATTGTTTTTTTTCAATTTTCCGAGGTGTTTTAACGTTTTTGAGTATAGCTTGAAATCTAATTGATCGATTTGGTCAAAAAAGCCCTTAAATTGAAGGTATTTGAGCCTTTTAAGACTTTATTTTACATACTTTAAGTATTTTAACACTAGCAATTTTAATAACTTAAAATTTTTTTTTAATGGCAAAAATTGAGGTCGAAAATATACATATTGTCCTGGGAAAGGTTTAAATCAAACATATAATTCCATTTTGAATTATAATAATAAAAATACATGGCAAAATGGCGAATATATGAATTTTTTGTGGAAGACCAAAATTCAGCTTTTTGAAGATTTTTATTTTATTTTTTTCTTTTATTTTGTAATATGTTTATTCTTTAATGAAAACCCAAATAAAGTACATGAAGGTAATTTTTTGAGTTTTTTACGTACTTTTTTCACCGAAAACATTATTCAAAATTTAAATTTGACATGACTCCGCAAACGTGAATTATTTTCTTTCTCGTGTTGGCATAGTGACATTTTACTGATATTTTTTAATATTTCAACAAGATATTTTTATCATGGTTTTATTTAGTTAATAAAAAGTGTAAAATTAGTAAAAGAAGTAGAGAGTTCGAGTTCATAAATAACCCGCATAATCTGGGCGATGTAAGTGATGAGCACGGAGAACGTTTTCACCAGCAAATGAAGGCTATGGAGCGGCGGTATCATGGCGTCTGGGAGACATCCATGATGGGTGATTACATTTGGTCCCTCATACAAGAAACGGAATTCGAAAGCAACAAAAAAGAATTTTTTTAAACAAAATAAAACTTTTAATTTCTTTAATGTTCAATATTTATTGTTTAATATTCAACATACAGGGTGTTATGTAATTAATGTTATATATTAAAATACTGAATACCTTTTGACATAAGGAATAAAGGAAAAATATTTTAAAAAGCATTTTTCCAAAGATAAAGAAAAAATATGCATTAGAAGTTTTTTATATTTTTTGTGATACGCCACTGGTTACACACTTGTTTATCTCTGCACACCTGTATTTTGTGGGTACATAGATACCAACCAACAAAGTAGCTATGCGTTGCCAGATGTAAAAAATTGTTACTAAAAATTTTTCTTGCAAAAAATAAATAAAAACTCAATAAATACAAAAGTTTTATGCCCTTAAAGCTCTAATACCCTTCTGTATTTATTTACTGATCCAGCTATTAGCTTAACCAATGATTAGAAAATTTAGTAGGTACCTTTGAAATTTGAAATCCATAACCACAAAATTAATTTTTTCATCAGTTTTTTTCTCTGTTTACTCAGATGAAATTGGGACCAGTTCACAGGTTAAACTTAAAACATTTAATTTGTGTAAATAAATCCAAAAGCACTTCCCTTAGTTAAGATATTAACAATTTGAAAACATAACCTAAAATTTAAAAGAAATGCACTAGATTCTGTCATAAAAGTTGGCAGATTTTGTTTGAATTTACCTTCAGTACAAAAATGAAATAACCAACAATTAATAAAAACGCCAAATTGACAATTTGCATTGTTAATTTTGTCATTTTTGTAATTAAGCTAAATTTAAACAATGTTTGTCAACTTTTTTGAAAGATTTTGGAAAAACTGTTGTTACCAACCATAACATAATAAATCCACCAGATTAACCTAAAGTTCCTAGTCGATCAGTGGCGTACTTTTTGGTAGGATAAAGGTTATTATAAATTATTTTTAGACTTTGGAATTTAGAAAAAAAAAGTTTCAGGTGATTCTTTATGGACCCTAAGGAACAACCCATTTTAATATATAACATTAATTACATAACACCCTGTAAAATTTAATTTCAATATTTAATGTTTAAAATAAAAATCAATATTAAATATTAAATTTTATATACCTAATAAAATGAAGAAAAAATTCTCGAAAAACTGAGTTTTGGTCTTCCACTGAAAAATTCATAACTTCGCCATTTATCCATGGATTTTTATAAACAGCACCTTATTAAATCAAACTGGACTTATCTTTCCGAATTCTATCCTTCTCAGAAAGATATGTAAATTTTCGACCTCGATTTTTATAAAAAAAGGACTTTTTCAACTTCATAAAATCGCCAGTATCGAACTACTGAGCCGATACCAAAACTATACAAGAGAAAGTTTTAGAGGGCTCAATTACCTTTGTTTGGTCAAATCGATCAATTAGAACTTGAAGTATACTCTAAAACTTCTCAGAGAATTAAACAAAAATTTAAAATTCATATCTCGAAAAAATTTTAAGTGTGATTTTCGTGTTTAGTGAGCCAAACTACACAAGAAAATCATAGTAAGACATTTATTTATTTATTTATTTATTTATTTAGTACATACAGAGAAAATCCAAGTAGTACAAAAAAAAGATACAGTAAGAATACTTATATCAAAACAAAAAGAGAAGAAAAAATATATATAATACACAAACATATAATTAACTATTATTAATAAGGTACTTTTTAAAAGAAAACAAGCTTACATTAAAAATATCGATATTACAGGAATTCAGATTACGTGCCAATCTGGGCACACAACTGAATTGCCTGTAATTAGTTCTACACAATGGAATATGTATTAATGCACTATTTCGAGTATTTATGGTAGGTACACGTAAAGAAAATAGTTTCAATATATCAGAACAGTTAATCAAATTATTAAATATCTTAAACATAAAAATTTTATCAAAGTTTATACGCCGTGTTTCTAGCGATTTTATTCCTAGCAAGGATAACTTATGATTATAACTAATATCATCCGAAATCTTAAGTTTAAATAACAAAAATTTCACAATTTTTTTCTGAGGTTTTTCAATCAAGTTAATATAACACTGTTGTGAGGGTCTCCATATAACTGATGCGTATTCTAAAATGCTACGAGACAAAGAATTAAAAAGAATAAGAATAGCATGGATATCAGTAAAATCTTGACATTGTCTAATAACAAAACCACACATTCTCATAGCCTTATTAACAATTTTATCAATATGCTGGATAAAAGTTAACTTTGTATCAAACAGTACACCTAAATCAGTCATAGTGGAGACTCTTTCCAGTTCATTATTATTAATAAAGTAATTATAATTCCAAGTACGAGTACTTTTAGAAAAAGAAATTACCTTACTTATATTTAACTCAAGAAAATTGTCATTACACCAGTCAACAATACGATCAAGATCTGATTCGAGCATTTGGTAATCTAAAAGTGAAGATACTTTTTTATACAACTTTAAATCATCCGCAAATAAAAGAAGTTCACAAAATTCAAAACATGTAGTAATATCATTAATAAAAAGCAAAAATAAAATAGGGCCCAAATGTGACCCTTGCGGTACTCCTGAAGTAACATTAATAAAATATGAAGGATATCCTAGAATAACTACAACTTGCCTTCTATTAGTTAGGTAACCTTCTAGCCAGCTGTGTAAAGCACCAGTAATACCATAAGACTTTAGTTTCAAAAGCAATAAACCAATATCAACCCTGTCAAACGCTTTTTTAAAATCTGTATATATAGAGTCAACCTGAACACCCATATCCATGGTGGGCAAAATGCATTACAGCCATGGCTGTAAACTTGTATAATTTATCCTAAGTAAAAATAATTTACCAAGATTTACTATTTTATTTTCTAACAAAAACTAAAAAACAATAACTTAACATGAATGAGTGTCTGTCAATAACAGATGCTTTTTCCCAAGGCATAGGCAGAAATAATATTATTCATATTCATGAATTAAATGGGGTGATTTATTGTCTAGGCCCATGTATCTCATTATTGTATTAGGAAAATAAAGTTATTATTGTACTAATACAATTATGAATAATTTCTTAAGGCTGCGTTGAGGCTAATAATATTAATATTATATTATGTCGGAAAATAAAAGTTTGTTACCTTCTAGTCTGTAAAAAACATGCTTGGATTAATAAAAAAAACTACTGTCAGATCTAACGCAACCTCACTTTCTACTTTTATTAATTATTATTATAATAATTGTATGGTTTATGTATTACTTGAAAAGCATGGCTTACACATGCCATCTTTTAGTGCTTCGCTCAATTTTAGGTGTCGGCTACGCGTCGGCATTCAAACTTTGAGCTTATAAGCTATAGCCAAAAATGTTTTACTTGTCACACTTATAACAAAAATAAATACATATTTTTTAGTACAAAACTTCTTGTTAAATGTTACCTTGAGGCCCTCGGCTGCAAAGGACCTCCAGGCAGGGTTGTCAGGTTGTAACCTTAAAATCCCCAAGCACCTTGCTAAAAAAACCGCCACCTGGTGCCAAATATCGCCGATGCTAAACAATTCATTCTTTCCCAGCTAGCACAAACACATCCCAACAATCTACCGCAATCTAAAATCGAGTATATTAAACCTCCCGTGTAATGCACTGTGAATATTACATTTCCCTTAAGGCAACCTCCGAATTTCCGCAACAATGTTTTCTGGATATTTACGTACGGTTAACGTTAGTTGGAAACATCAATTAAAGTAAATATAAAACATGCGTTTTATGTGCCTACTTTACCACTATATTAGTTATAAATTTACATACGTGTCAAGCTTTGTAAATTAATATTTAAAAGTTTGTGGCGAAGCAGGAGCGAACCTTCACCTTTATATGGCGATTTTCAAATTGAAAATTTCAATTTTCACCTTCTTAGTAAATGACATTTTATGTTAATTTTGTTGTTTGTGTAACCAAGTAAACGATAAATTATGGGAACAGACCTAAAATTTGCTTTTATATATTTTGCGTTCAAAATGACTTTATTATAACAGCGCTTTCGGTGCTGTAATGAGATACTTTATCCCACCCATATTTTTGATTTTATAGGTTGGCTATACTTTAAACAGCATAATATTTTGCATATTGGTTATAATATTTTTTTGATTTTTCTAGAAATTTTGTTTAACACCAAAGAAAATCCTTTTTTTCTTCTTTAACATTAACAGCCGCTTATTGTAAATAAGTAAGTTAAGGACGGCCTAGCAAATCGATTTTGACATTAACTGTCAAACCAATGACAGTTATACCAACTATTTAAAGTAAAATTCGACCAAATTAAATTTAAGGCATAAAATTAATTTTTTTTATAGAATTTTTGCAAAATAGATAAAATAGCATAAAGAACTCATGTCATAAGACCTTTTGACGCACTCGTCCATTACAAAACTCGCTCGTTTTATAAGTTGTCCGCGTCTTTAATATACTATTCTATAAGCCTGTTAAATTTTACAGGTCTTTTATACAAGCCCGTAAAAAATAACATGTCTGTTACCAGAGCTGCAACAAGTCAGTTTTAAAAAGACTTAAATCTTAAGTCTTAAGTCAATTCTAAAATCAAAATGATTTAAATCTTAAGTCAATTCTAAGATAAAGTTCAAATGATTTAAGTATTAAGTCTTTGAATTAAATCATTTTCTTTCAAGTCAAGTCATTTTCGCAAATTCTTAAATCAAATTAAAATGATTTAAATCATCTTATGACTTAATTCCTTTAGTAATTCATTTTTATGACTTAAGTCTATATTTTTTATTTAAATCGTGATCTCAGAGTTAAGTCAATAAAATGACTTGAATCAAAAATTGTGATTTAAATCAAAATAATTACCCTTAAGTCAATACAACGATTTTTTAAATTTTAATAATAATTTTATGGTAATAATGATACTGATATTATTAATCTATTGTAGATACAGATGATAATAAACCACTATGTTAAGAATTTAAAACGATTTATTTTCAGAACACTTACAAATAAAATAAAAACTTAAAACACATTTTTTGAGTATATAGTAGACAATAAAAATAAAAACTTAAACCACCTTTTTTAGTAGAGTAGACATACAGGGAGGCTACTTTTTTATATACATAAATGGGTAACTTCTAAACGGTAATAGATTCAAACTCTGTTAAAATAGACAAAAGTTAAAGCATTTTTCTTAAAATCGCTGTATTTCAAAAACTGATAACTTGTTGTTTTGTTAACTTTTGTTAGCTGGTTCAACATCCATCTAGAAAAAAAAATATTCCTCCCTTAAGGGAGTAATGATGGGAAGTTCCAAACTCTGGATTCACGACCGCTCAAGATGTACAACTGCTCACGACTGTAATAATTCAAGACTACTCACGTTCACGCACAATCACGTTTGAATAATTTTATTCACGCACAATCACGTTTTTTTGTCGTAATTATTTACTTAAACAAACCGAAACACCCTGTATGATGTAAACACGTCTTTATAATATTTATTCGTCCTTACAAGTTAATCGTTTGTTTTCACTTTGCACTAATAATCACAAATTAGACCTAACTTCGCACGAACACGACTAATGTTGGCAAACAAAATAACAAAATTATAAATCCCCACTTTTTTTAATTCATTTTAGACAGGACATTTTTTAATGTAGCCGTCAAACGGTTCCGAAAAGCTAATTTTACCGCGGCGGTTTTTTTATCCACTAGCGGTAGCAATTGTAGGTAGGAAATTAAAGGAGTTTTTGATCTGCTGCCGCCTGAACCCCTGGCAGTTTAAGAAAATGCCGCTGTACAAAATTTATAAAAAAATCTATGAAAAATCTGACTTAAATAATTTCTAAAAAGACTTAAATCTTTTTCAAAAAGACTTAAATCTTTTTTTGACTTAAATCGTTTTTATCTGACTTAAATCGTATGTACTGATTTAAGCCTTTTATTAATGACTTAAGTTTTTTCTATTTTGAAAAAAATATTTAAGTCACAAATCATTTTGAAAATTACTTAAATTTTAAGTCTTAAGTCAGTTTTAGAGAAATGACTTATTACCAAATGACTTAAGTCATTAAAACGATTTAAATCAAAAAAACGATTTAAGTTTTCTGAGAGCTTGCAGCTCTGTCTGTTACCATAATTTATCGTTTACTTGGATATTTGCGTACCTAGAATTTCGTAAATCTTTAAATGCTTTTATACTTCTTTTTCAGTATTTGTAGGTGTATATAAAGTTTCTTATTTTAAGTTTTTTACATTAAAACAATACACAAACTAAAATCAGAAATACAAAAACACAAGTTTACTCAATACCTGTAACTTTTTAGAGAACTGAAAAAAAATTAAAAAAAAAATTCCTGTATTGACATTTTATATTATCATTAAATAAAAAATAGTTAAAGCAAATAAAACAAAATTAACATTAAAAACATGTCTTAGGCGTCTTTTTTATTCACCGTTAGAGTGTGCTCCATGCAGACCTTATTTTCTGTGGTGCAGTCTGCTGACCTGCATGCTTGCTCAAATATTCGGTCAAAATGCGATGCAATTTCTTTAGATATCTCCCAAATTTCGGACACACAATGGTTTTTTCGAGACTTTTTGGGCTTCTCGATAATCACCATTGACACTCACTAGCGTATGCTTGGCTCATCACGTTCACGGTTTTGACATAAACTTTAAAGGTCGCTACTTTTTTCATCGTGATTTTCATCTGATGTGCTTGCACTACAATTTTGGTTCTGGTTAACGTAGGAACCAAAACGAGCAAAACACATGAAAAATTTCCATTAAAAATATGTGACGATGTTGGTACTATAGAAATAATAGTATATTCTGTAACAAGTTTGGAATACAGCATATTCCGCTCGAGTGAAGAGTTTGTCGCACGAGCCGAAGGCGAGTTTGACGGTTTCACGAGAGCGAAATATGCAATTCCAAACGTGTTTCAGAATATACTACGTTTCCAAAAAATACCATAGATCGGTCTAAAATTTGTTAGATATTAAAAACAGAGATGTCGCCACGAGTGTTTATTCTGTCATCCGATTCTGTAAGGTGATATTAGAACGGTTAAATTCCGTAATTGGAGTAGAAAAAATATTTTCTGTCGGATTTGGAACAGACTAGAGATATCTCTGGGACAGACCGTGCAGACATATATTCTAGCCAACTTAATAAATACAAAATTGACAATTAAATTTATAACTATGATGCTTATACTAATCATAAATGATATTAAAATTATTTTTTAACTTTACTTTATCAATATAATTCCGTAGTTTTTTTGTAAGCTTACAATAATTTTTATATTATAAGACTTATATGTCTATAGACATATATATATAAAAGACTTCATATTAATACTAGTTCAAAAGTCAAATTCCGACATTTTAGCTTTGTTTCTGTACTCCGTACAGAACATGCCCTGTGCACTCGCCTTAAACAAACAAAATCCACATTTTTGTCTAGTCGACTTTGGTTTTAGTTTACACTAGAGGCACATGTGGCAGGAGCGGCGGTTAATCTTGACGGTTGCTTGGTAACGAAATCAACAAACTTCAGTTTGATAAATTTTGTAAAGTTTTGTAAATTCATATTGTGTTTATTTGGTTTGTTCTGTACGCTTAAAAACTTTTAAAATTGCGATTTATCGTTATCTGTGTACTCTATTTTTTATATATTGCTACATTATTTGAACATTAACATGGTGTTGTGCTGTGCTGTGGGCTGCTCTAACAGTCAAGTTATGATGCATACTTTTCGCAATGATGACAAGGTTGTATTGTATTATTCAATTATAACTATTTAAAATAGTCTATTTTATTAAAACAATGAAGTAGGTACTTACACAAATGTGGTACATAATATTATTACTTTATACTGATTTGTGTTCTTTAATAAGATAAAATTCACTTGAATACAGTATTATATTGTTAATTGGTTTAGTTTAGTAAATACCTTGAATAATTTAAAATATAATACATTTATTTTTGCTTTTCAAATAAACAATTTAAATAAACTTTCAGGCCTTTTATTTTTTACTATTTTGACTGTCAAAATTTGACAGGATAACCTAAATTAAAAACAACTAGCGGCATAGCGGGCCGAGTGTGGGTAACAAGGAGCGTCAAATATGTGACAGTGGCGTATCTATATGATTTATTATCTATGGTACAGAAACAAAGCTAAAATGTCATCATGTCAGTTGAACCTAGCCTAAAAATAATGTGACATAATATTAAAAAAATATTTAATAAATTCCTTGCCTCGCAATCTATTCAGCAAATGCAAATGTACTAGTACATTACTTATCACGTGATTGTCACGTTGTAAACTTTATATAAAAAAAGCTTTAATAAAGTCAAATTATAATTTTATTTAAATAATATTGATAAGGTTAAATTTAAAAATAATTTTAATATCATTTATCATTAGTATATAAATTTAATTATGTCAATTTTCTATTTATTATAGCTACTAATTTCGTCGCCTTAGTAATACAACCACCTAACTCCAATTTCAAGTAATAAAGGACAAAATATCATTTTAATTGTTAAAAACAATAAAAATTATCTTTTGTCCTTTATTACTTAAAATTGAAGTTAGGCGGTTTTCTTCTTTAGGCGACGATTTGTTTAACCAAAAGGGCTCGTCCTCGGACAATCATGTTTTTTGCTGAACAAATTACAGACCGTTTATTATTTTTTGAGTGTACAATAGGAAAAGATTAAATCAAAAAATAAAATTTTGATATATCTTGGGTATTATCGAAATTTAATTTTGAACCACCACGTATAATATTATTTTTATATTTTATATTTTTTTTGTCTTTTTTCCTATCCCCAATGGAAAATCACCGATTTTATAATTTACTTACTTTAGATAGATTCAATTTCTCGCAAATGGACTCAACAGTGGGCAAAAAGTACCTATCGCACACCACGGCCAGGAGGATGAAGCAGTAGATCCCGATGAGAAAAAATAAAACAAAACCGCCATTTATTTTTGCATAGTTTGACAGAAAGGGTGGAAAATCGTCCGACGAGCTGGTGCATTGTGAAATGTTTGCTGACTTTAGGTTCGGCCGAGCAAATGGAATGAATCGTCTGTGACGGACCGTTTCGTTGGCTGTCTCGATAGGCGTTTTTGTCACTTCTGAACTTTCCAATATTGTTTGATTGTCCTGGCCTTTTTGATCGCTTGTTTTTAAAGATAGAAGTGAGTTGAGTTTTTCATCTGAAACCAAAACAATTGTATAAACGCCATGAGGGAGCACATGAAATTAATCGATTAAACTTTTATCCTAAGGATAAAGAAATACATACAAAAATATAATTACATAAATCGTTTCGCTATAAATAGTGAGAAATAACATAGTAGGCAATTTAAGAATGTACTTAACTAACTTATTTATTTTTTAATTACAGAAAAAATATAACAGATATTTGCTATAGCGTTATCTTTATTGAAGTGTATTTAATTATCGGTCAGACCTTTTAAATAATGTGTAAGTACATTCTTATTTATTAAAGTAAATAAAGAATCCCTTGCCACTTAATACAATTAAAATTTTTTAAGGCAAAATAGGTAGATATGGCAATTTAAATATACACCCTTTATATTTTAATCCCAAAATTGTAATAGTGGATAGAACTGGCAAAAATAAAAAGAAAAGTTTATATAAACTTTTGTGGTTTAAAGCTTTGTTTTCGGCTTTAGCCAATTTATGAAACATCTTAGCTTTTGGCTATCTTGATGTGTATGTTTATGATGCCTTTGATTTTATATTGTTTCATTTTATTCTGTTGCTATTGTTATTGTTATTTTGTATTATTGTATGGTTGTTCCCACTTTTATTATTACTTTTTTAAAATTGTTTTTGTGCGATTCCATGATTACTAACGGGACAAAAATAAAGAAGACAAAATGTTTTATGAATATTTTTGGAGATTTGTTGTTCCTATGCATAGGAACAACAAATCTCCAAAAATATTCATAAAACATTTTGTCTTCTTTATTTTTGTTCCGTTAGTAATCATGGAATCGCACAAAAACAATTATATATATGACAATAATTTTATGATAGTTATTATAACTTAATTTTATTGCTGAGAACTCATACAATTATTATTATAGGAACAACACATCTTCAAAAAAATGCATAAAAGATTTTGTTTTCTTTCTGTTGGTCCCGTTAGTAATCTTGGAATCGATCTTTTGTTTATTTAAGATTATTTTATTATATATTGTATTATATTTATTCATTACACTATATATTGTTATTAAAAGTATTGTATTATTGTATAAATATTTTGTGTATTTACTATTACCATCTTAAAAATATTTATTATTATTCAGACAAGCTATGGTTAAGGGAATTTTGTTTATTTAGTTTTATAATTGTATCTATAGATTTTTGTTGGAAATTTATTTGATTCAATAAATAAACTATATTAATATTTTTATTATTATCTAAAAACGGTGATTATGGAAACAAAATATTTAACACACAGCCACTTGATAGATGTATTTTCTAGTACTTTTTTTTTACTAAATCATCATTACTTTGTAACTTTTTATTTTTGAGACATGTTTAGAAAATTGTTTTCTATCATTTTATATTAATAAATATTCTTAAAACATTTTAATAAAAAAAATTAAATTAAATTTTAAAACCCTAATAACTCAGAAACGGCTTGTCGAAAAATTGTTTTATTTTTTTATAAATTTTATGAAAATGTTTGTTTTATCAAGTAATTAATTATGTAACCTAGGTATTATTAAAAAATTTAATTTTTTTTATATTTGATCCATTCGAATATTTCTTACCATTTGAATATTCGCACCATGCGACATTCTAAGCAAAATGTTTTTATTATACGTTACTTAAGTCATGGTTTAATACAACGCCCGATAAATAAATATATTAGTTTATTTGTCCTTATTATTGTACGGGCAAAAAGGATCCCCAATATTAGCTTATAATTTCAATATATACCTTTAAATGCACTAAACCCCTACTTGGCTAAAAAGGGAAAGATTTGGGTCAGAATTTCTCAAACGGGCCACCTGAATTAGGTCAAAATTAGTTTTTGATTGTAGATACATTTTTTCGATAGTATTTTACATCACTCACACAAATCCTAAAGGATTTTGTAAAAAAAAAATTTTCAATTGACATATTCATGATATTAAAAGTAAAAGTTTTTAGTAATTAAAAAATAAAAAAAAATCATTATGGCTAAACTAATTATCCGATTCCAACGATTTAACTAGCGTTGGAATCTTGTTTTGACATAGATTCTTTGTTATTTTTTTCAATTGTACAATTTTCATTTAGGTCGATTTTTTTTTGTTTTTTTTATAACAAATTCGGAAATAATTGGCTTCTGCGCCAGCTATCGACTCGAAAAAAAAAACACATATACTCCAATCATTTTTCGAAATTATGCTGCTGAGAAAAAAAATGGCCCGCAGGTTCCAGACCACCGTAAGACGTCGCGTCACAAGCGCGTACAGCGTACACGGTTCGGAGCGTGAGCTGACACCGCGCGCGGCCACAAAAGGACGAATAACTTTTTGTCAACCTGCGGGCCATTTTTTTTCTCAGCAGCATAATTTCGAGAAATGATTGGAGTATATGTGTTTTTTTTTTCGAGTCGATAGCTGGCGCAGAAGGCAATTATTTCCGAATTTGGTATAAAAAAAACAAAAAAAAATCGACCTAAATGAAAATAGGACAATTGAAAAAAATAACAAAGAATCTATGTCAAAACAAGATTCCAACGCTAGTTATATCGTTGGAATCGGATAATTAGTTCAGCCATAATGAATTTTTTTATTTTTTAATTATTAAAAACTTTGACTTTTAATATCATGAATATGTCAATTGAAATTTTTTTTTTTACAAAATCCTTTAGGATTTGTGTTAGTGATGTAAAATACTATCGAAAAAATGTATCTACAAACAAAAACTAATTTTGACCTAATTCAGGTGGCCCGTTTGAGAAATTCTGACCCATTTCCTATCTTCCTATGAAATGATTAAAAAATCACATTTTATTAAAACATTCACCAGATTTTGATGCTATCTAATAATCTTTTAAAGTACTTAATGATATTATTATTAATATTATGTATGAACACAAATAGATTAAATAACTGAAACCAGACGGTATTTTTAATAAAATCTGGACAATAAAAAGATTAGGTACTTCCAAATTAAGAAGGGATAATATATTAGGTCATTAAGTATAAGTTGTACAATCCAAGTTCAGCATTTACTTACATTTGAACTAAGTTTAAACAATTGTTATAACAATTGTAACCAAGCATTAAGGATAATTTAAACTGCAACTAAACTCGAGTTTTACATTAAATTTTATTTAATACATTTATTTAATTTAAGTAGTAATTTTTAATAATAATTATTTAATAATACCTAATCTTAAAACTATTAATCCTATATGAACATATGACTAATAAATTTATATCTTGATTTTTTTATATTTTGGCTTTATTGATTATAATCAGAAAAAAATAATTAATCATAAAAGATTTATTAATACATAACTATAGCGTATCCTTATACCTTTTAAAAACAATAATATAAACATAAAATCAGTAGGCACACTTTAAATAAAAAGAAACTTAAATTAAGGCTTCAAAAAGTTTAATTTATTCACAAAAATAAACATAAAAATCAAAAGTCACTCAGTGGAGGATTGTGGATTTTGGATATACCTATATCTTAGTTAGTAGACATGGAACCCACACCAAACTTATATGAGTTTGTAATGACATTAAATAGACAAGTTTTGCGCAATCAGAATTTAAATTGAAATGTAGTGAATTGAACCATTTTAATTTGAATAATCTTAATTAGGGGTGGCAGGTGGCTGGTGAGGCGCGCAGAAAAACTAATTTTTTTTCGCAAACTTCAATTTAAATTCTGCTTGCGCAGAACTTGTCTATTTAATGTCAATATAAACTCATATAAGTTTGGTGTGGGTCCCATATCCACTAACTGAGATATCGGTATACCCAAAATCCAAAATCCGCCACTTCTTTCGGATACATTTTATTTATAAACATGAACATTAAAGGACAAAAGCCCTCTCTCATTTTTGCCACTTTTAGACATAAAATGCTATTTAAAATTATCATAAATTCTATTTAAACGAACTATTCATATTTATGGTTATTACATAAAAAATCGGAGCCCTTTTATTTTCGAACGAGCTCAGAGTTTAAATTTCCTTTTTCCTGAAAAAAATTAGGAGACTAAAAAAACGCGCAATCCTAATATTCATAATCAAGAAATATTTTTTTATAGTAGTTTTATAAAGTAAAATAATAAAAATAAATAAAAAAATTATTTATCTAATAAGATATTATTTAAAAATATTAAATTAATTTATAATCATTTAAGACAAAATTAACAATTCACTTGAAATTTTGGCGAATGCACCGGGATTAAAAATATATTTCGTTATTTAATTAATATTACAGCCAATTTTTTTAAATAATATGTAATAATATATGTATTATATTATAATAAAATAAAGTCTGGGTCCTTAAAACTTCCAATTTTGGCGAATGCCAGGGATATAAAATATACTTGGTTTAAAAAAATAAAACAATCTTTTATCAAGAGATTGTGTAAATACTACCTACAATATGATTCGCTGCTCATTGCGGTTGTTATTTTGTTCCAGATTACACTGGAATTAAGTAATGTATAGGGCCTTTAAATCCTTAAGCCAGTACTGGTTGAACATATATTTTTTAATCAATTTGTCCTCCGCTTTTTGCAGGGTCTTAACCAGCCTTATGCTTAATGGACATTAGGGTGGTTCTTATTTGACCGATGTCGAAATTTAAATCGTGCCGCCCCCTCATTTGTTTTTAAAAAATATAAAAAAAATGTATGCCAAATTTGATTGTCCTAACTTATTTCCTTCTATTGCCTGTAACAACGAGAAGTTTTCCAGATAGAGAATTTTTGCCTTTAATGTATTAATTTTTTAAAATTACTATTAATCTATGAAAAAGTATAATTTTTTGTGAAAATGTAAAGGACTTAAGTTACTTTTAAACAAAATGCATGATTAAAATTTTGACATCGGTCAAATAAGAACCACCCTAATGGACATAAATAAAAAATGATTTTATACAGAGGCAAATAAGTTAATATTTTTAATATATTTTAAATTGATCATATTTTTAGTAAAAAT